TACAATCATCAAATATATTGCGCGATGCACATTGCAATGTGATCTATAGCTGCAATTTTAAAGTACAAGCTGAACTACAATTTATCGTTATTGTTTAGCATTTAAAGGCTATTAATTAGGTCACGGTACAACAATGCAGAACGTTCCAACGATTCTACATTCTTCCTATTTTGGAAAATTCCTCGCTTGCAATTTAACACTTCGATAACCGTACATTTTGTGGAATATTCTACAATCTCTTAAGCTCATCGAACAACTATCGTGGGTAAATAAATTTCCGAATTACAGGAAAAGGTACCTAAAGATCGCGGTTCTTTCAGGGCATCCGAAATTTATCTTGCTACTTCGAAATTCTTCTCGCAGAGTAATCACTGCCTAATCAGCAAATGCAAGCTGTTCGCGGTTCGATCGATGGGTAACTTCGATCGATGCTACTTCGTTGGAACGTTTTAATCCCGATCATTTCTCGAATCGGCTGGCAAAAAGAGGTAGCTGTACACAGGAGGGGATTTTTCAGCACGAATACAGCCGCTTCCCATTAGCGCTAATGAAAGATCCGTACAGTGACTTCGCTTCCCTTTTTCGCCCTCCTATAGACGAGTTTTCGAAAAGGACACCAGGGCTTAATTAATGTTCTTTCGGACCGGGCCATCTTGTAATTTGCGCAGACGAATATTTCACCGACTATTACAATGTGCCGAAATTTCGGTCACTAGACCGAATCAGTGTTCTGCTCACCCGACGAAATCTTTAATAATTATTATCAACTTTTGTTCTAGCGTTCCCAATTAATGAGCTCGTTCATCAGGCGCAAAAATAATCTGATATTTTTTAATGAATGTTACGGTCATTGAATTGGTTAAAACGAGAAGGGATTGATACTCTTGTGAATTGTGAAATGTAAACAATTTCAGCAAATTTTTTACACAATGAATTCCAGTCAATCAATAACCATTTTCGCCCGCATATTTTTTGCTCGGAAACATTGAAACAGATGTACAAAACCCGTTTGCAAATATTTGTTTAAAAGCATTTAAATGCCTCTCGGTCTTTTGTTTTCCATTTGGTAATGGCAAATATGTTTGTAATACGAGCAAACAAGTGTAGATGCGTTTTCGGGTAAAGTATTACTTCATTGTGTCGCTGTATCTTTTATGGAGGAAAAAGCTTTGTAAACATTTGATGTGGACAATTGCATGTAAATCCGAATGAAGCTTCCGAGGTTCTACAAACAGTGATAAATGTTTATATCCAATTATCTCAAAAAATATAATTTTCTAGAAAAATTGTATTTTCTACTGCTACGATCTTTATTTAGCACGAATTGATGGCTTTCTATTTGTTTTTAATATTTTCAGCTTATTTGATAATCTGAATATTGTTCTTATTTGTTTTTATGAAAGCAGCCTCAAGAATTGGAATTCCTACACACTTTTGTTCTATCGTGAATACCCTGCGGGCATTCATTCTCGCTTATTGTATAGTTGGTTTAATCTGGTGGTTTTCGCGTTGCTTCTGAAAAATTTTGAGCGCCTTGTTTGCTGCGAAAACGGGCTTAAGAAGTGCTTCCGGTTTGATACGGCGGTGTATTGTTTCGAAACATTATCTTTCAGATGTGATTTCGTGCTCATTTAACGTTTGCATTTGAATACGCGATTGTTTAAAAATCAAGGCGTTAGAAAATTCTTCTGAATCTAATTTAATCAAGGTGTTAATAACGAAAAAATTAAAAATATTAATTTCCAAATTGCTATATTACACAGAAATGAAATAAAAAATGATTAGAGAGCTACGAATCAAAGTAATGGATGCATGACAGTGGCTACTGGAAATGTTAAAAACTCTAGAATAGAGAAATAGAAAGTCTCGTAAAAAAATACAAGGGAACGGATTGTTTAGCCGTCGACCGAGTTTCTCTAGCAAACTGTAGAAAGGAGGGAAGCACAGGGACGAGGGATGCACCCATTGCCAAAGACATTTAGCTCTCTACTCCGTTAACCCCGAGTACCCTGGCACAATCGAATCAACAACGGATGGGTAATTTCCTTGGAAGACGGAACAAAGAGGCCCACTCGTGGGATATCGAGTCTAACGGAAAAATTCACGTGGACAAAGAGCCGATAATTGTAATTGCGATCCCCTAGTCCCTGGGAAAACGATTTATTGCCGGGAAATCGGGAGATTGTTGTGATTTTTATGTAATTAAAATTTAGATTAACCATCATTTCAGATATCTAATATGCATATTTTTAATTAAGCAAGTTAAAGAATTTGTCATATTATGGATGATGGATTCCTATGGAAATTCAAGCATCACCCACATATAAATAATTGCAGATGTTTTTTGTCATCAGATTTTTCAATACAGTCAACATATTTTGAAATAAATACAGATAGGTGAATCACAGAGATTTTTCAATTTCATCGCACTTGAAATGTTACTTCCGACCCCGAACAATTTTCTTTCGGTCGAAAATGGAGTTTCTTTGCAGTGAAGAAAATATTGGATATTTCGACCTCAATGACCGAAAAAGGATCAGGGATTGACCTCGATGGACTTTTCGCAAGAAGCCTGTTATGAGTTCGAAAAGTAACGTGTTGATTTGCTCCGTTGCCCAATAATATTTTCTTATTGACAACTTGGGAATTATCTGAAGATCCAAGTGATTTCAAGTGAATATCTGACGTATTATTAATTTTATTTGCATACTAAAATGAAGTAAATGACAGTATTTAATCCTTAAATCACCCTTAAAGACTATGGTCAATTAAAGGTGAAATTTCGCCTTAGTAATTCTTTCTAATAAAAGGTAATTGAATATTGTATTATTTAATATTAAAGAAAGATATATGGTTACTGCGTAATTTACGTAGACTGAAATTTCACCCCTGATAGCCTTTAAGGATTAAGGGTGAATGGTAAGAGGAGCCGTGAATGCCTTGGGATATTTGTAATTTGACTATGTAATAAAAGTGCTCTATCATACGGTTATGGCTCAATAAACAATTATTATTTGAATATTTGACATAATGGTATCTATTCAATCTTTTAGAGGTTAAAGCTTCTAAATATATTTCTAAATTATACGTCTACCTCGAATTTTATGATTCAATATTTTCTGACAGATCTGAAAATGCTATTTAATGCACCTCCATCTGTCAATTTCAATAATTTTCATTCCAATGCAATTGAAATCATAAAAGCCATAAGTATGGTACTCGTAGGTATACACGGTTTAGCCATCGACAAGATGTTTTTACAAACGCGCTGAAACGTCGAGCAAAACGCGAAGCTTTCATCTGCATAACCATTGACGTCATGAAGAACCAGTAATTAAACTTCGCGAAAGTTATAGAACATGTAAAACGACGCTTTGCTTTCTAATGCATTCCTCGCGTGTAGTGAAACGATCACATCTGATGAACGGACACATGTTTATGAAATTTCCTCGATGTAGTATATGTAAATATGAAAAGTTTTCGTGGGAAGTGTATCTAAAAATTTGTAAATAAGTACGAGCAACAAAATTGGTATTCTAACGTGGAAATGGAAAATATGAAATTTGCGATACCAGAATAATATTTTCATTTTGTATCGAAACTATGCACAAGCCAGAAGGGTACAAATGAAATCACGCCTACGGTCATTTGCATAATCGTTAGTACTTTGATATTTTACTATCAGTTCAAGCTCCTATTTGTCGCTAATATCAGAGAATTCAACGAGGAAGGAAGAAGTTCGATGAAGGTTCAACGCGTTCTATGAATCTTAATTAACGAGACAATAATATGAAACTCTGCTGGAAATTTCACGTTACCCGTTCGACCCTTTAAGTTTCATAAATCAGAACCGTATTCAGGGACATAAATAAGTTCGTTTTGCGAGTGAATCAGTGCGCAGAATATGTGGTGAGAGCAACAGTTTTTCTTACGAAACATACATCCACCCGTGACTGCGGAAAAGAAGGAACTTGCAAAGGAAAAAACGAAGCAATTAATTTTGACCGACAAAAATATTTTTCAGAAGAAATTTTAACCGTATAAATCTTTGAATGTGTAGGAAATAAGCGATAGAAACTTCAAAATTTACAGAGGTGAAAAATGAAGGGTTTGCAGAAAAAAGAGGCAATGGCAAAAAACGAAAATCGTTTGAAATAGAATTGGAAAATCGTTTCAGACCGATCCACTGATTTACGAAACACTTTAATTTTAAAGGTGTGATTTAATAACACTTTAATAAAGCGTTCGCGTGATTTATATCGCGGCAAATAGTGTTGTTAACAAATGACGTCGCAGCTGATAAATCAACGATCGTGGAATGATTCATAGAATGAGAGTGCAATTTACTTGAACGTTGTGCTCGTATTTTTCGTGTTTTCCTTACACAAAGCTGTCGCGTCTGTGAGAATCCTATTACAACGTCGTCGCGTAAGATGGATGTACGTAGCTTAGAGGAAAATCTTAGCGAAAATTGTACCTTTAGAGGAATTAGAATCGAGGTTATATTTTATTCGCATTTTGTACCGCGTCCTGCCACTGTGCCACGATCTTCCTTTCATTAAGAAGATATAATCAGTGAACAGGGAAGTTCATGGTGCAATTTATGGTGGTTTTATTCAAACAAAATTGCAATGAATACATTCCACCAAAAGGAAATCTGATTTCATTTTACTTCCTTTATTCACAAGGTGTACACTTAAATAATTAACTAGCGTATTTCACAGTTGATACTGTTCTCTAGTTGTGTAGCAATAAATAAAAGAATGAATTAATGAATACGTTTTAACATGTTAATTGCCACAGTGAAAATGAACAATTCTAGTAGGGCACATTAAAATACTAATTATTAACCTTCTGGGGGCGGAGTTGGGTCAATCGTGACCCAGATCTTATACCCAGAACGTATACAATGGAGTTTCGATTAAAATTGCCCATTGAATAAATCAAGAAAATGTTATCTAAAATTTAGAAAACCATAATAATTCATCGATCTGTTACAGAGGAAATAATTGCCAATTTGCCACCCCTTCGAATTCCTCGCCTGAGACATCATCGAGTGACAGACTGGGATCCTTATTTCGAAAATGCTGAAGGTCAGGGTATCAATGGATCTCAAAATGTGGCGTTACACCTTGGTGCCACAGCTCTCCTCGACTGTCGTGTTGCAATGTTAGCGGGGAAAAAGGTATTGTTTCTCAAAAGAATTACATGCACAACTAAACATAAACATACTTCGTCTGAGAGCCAGTTCTTATTACTGAACTTGAAGAGACTTATTTAAAATGAAAATTACATTATTTTTGCTGAAACAAATTTTTTAATATGAAAATGCTATAAAATTACTTGTAATTGGCTAATTAAAATAATTCTAAAGGTTAATCAAATATTCTGATTATATGAGTCGTTTTTCACGTAAAGATAGTATCAATTTGACCGAAATTTGAATGGACACCCTATAAATTGTTGAAAGTATGACAGTAACATTGTATATGACCGAAACGCGTCAACTGGCAGACTCTTCTAAACGCGTAACACGGAACGTAGTTAACGTCCCTTGATACACCTTCATTTAACTGCCCCTATTTTAACCGCACACGTTGTTACACGGTATCATATACGCAACTGTAGAACCCTGTGTCATAATTGTAGGTCATGTGGTTACGCCGCAACGCGGACTGGGCATCCCTTTTAACTCTGGGTAACACTACTCACATTTCCGATCCCAGGTACAGCGTTAGCTTTCAATATCCGAATAATTGGAGACTGGCGATCGCCGGGGTGAGAAAGGAAGATCGCGGATTATACGTCTGTCAAGTGAACACGCATCCCCCGAGAATGCTCATCACTAATGTCACCGTTCTAGGTAATATAAACTTTCTTTCACCACGAATTTATCCATTTATCAGAAAAAAAAAGTTTCTGATATTCCAAGTACAGATTTCTCAAGATACCTATTCCGGAAGCATGTTTAAACGAAGAAGGATATTTTTGATAAGAAATGTAATCAAACTTCTCCAATCAATGAAAATCTAGCCAAAGGAATATATTAACAGGAAACGAAACTTTTCATTGAAATACTACGTACAGTAAATTCTGTTTAAAGGTTTCTGTTATTGATTACAACTCTCATAGCAGCGTTATCTGACATTTGGTTTGCAGAAAGTAGTTCTGTTTAACGAATCACTTGCTATTGAACTTGATGCACTTTGGTACACTTGTCTCGAGAGTAAATAGCATGCCGGCGAAGTTTGTTACGCCAACAGTTTGTTAATTAGCCCGACTTTTCGGAAGGTAGGCATCTATAATGTTCACCTGATATTTACAGGAACTTCTGCTTCATTATTATTTGCTTAGTATTTTTTTTTTTATACCGTGTACTATTCAACCGAAGGATTTCAGGGGTTTGGTTTAAGAAATATTCGAACAGAAGGTGCTCGAAACGATCATTTCGTCGAGTTTCTCCCTTATTATATCGTCGAAGATGAAAATAAAGGAACCGACCAATCTCGTACCGCGTTCAATTGCAAATTCTTGTATAAATACCTTCGAAAGCGGTATAAAATTAACGCGCGCCCCTGCTGCGTTTCTGCCACTTGCCTCGGGCAAAATCTTCCCGAAAATCTCAACTTGTAGCACGCGAAACTTTTGGTACAACTGTCGTTTAGAACTGCTACCGCGTGTAAGAGAAGTTGATTAGCTTCGCGATAGCGGACCCTCGATGGAAATTTTGAACAACACCTTGACTTATATCCGAGTGCAAAATTAGGACAAAATTAAACGCGTTCTTCTTTGCCCGTATTATCTAAAAAAAAATTTTAAGCGAAGAAAATTGGAAATTGTCATTTTGATGGGCATAATTCTCGGTTGGTTCTCGCTTTTTTTTTTTTTTTAAATCGGAAAATACTCGATCGAGGACTGCGGAACAGAGGAACTCTCTTCGTCGGACACGAAGCTGCTGTCTGCTTCAAATTGCTATTTTCTCTTCGCGACTGAGTTTACAGATCGTCCTGGGTCGACGCGAAACTTTCAGCGGACAACACTCGAGATGGCCTATTTTAAATTCTCGTTAACGTTCGCCCGGCCTCCAGCAGCCCGGGTTGATCTTTAATTCACCGGGCATCACTTGGACCGTGGAAAAAAATTGTTATTCTATCGGTTAATAGGAGGATCGCAACTAGAATGGCACAGGAAAGCAACGAGATGGCCTGCTGTTTATAAAACACGATCCTGTAAACGATCTTTGCTTCGGATCATTAGTTACTAGCAACTGCACAACTTTTTATCAACATTTTAAATTTAAATTGGTTTCATGATAAATCGTTTGACAGAACAAATGAATACACCTATTCCACTCGATGAAACATCATTCAGACTTCTCTTCAAGTTTCTCGTCTGCGTCGAAAGCTCGACAATACATTGAAAATACGGCACGAAGGCAATCTATACGTTTCACTCTATTCGAATCGTCGCATAAATCCTCTGAAGATAGAGACACAAACGGATTCACTTGCCACGAAACAGCGAAACGAGAGAACGGAATCGGCTTATGCGACAGATTTATGAAACTTTCTCAACTTCGTCACTTGCATTTCCTACGTGCTCTCTGCTTAGAGCGAACAAATCAGACACGTAGTTGTGTGGGAAATTTCGTGCACAAAGCATCTGTTTAACTGAGTTTGCGGTCTCTCCTAGGTATTCTATCAACGGACCCGTTAGATTTAATAAACCTGATAATAATTTTGATAAAAATCTAATATGTGCGAAAGAAAATAATATTTCTTCATATTCTCGAGTAAGGTGAATCTTTGGACGAAATAACTGGTCCATAGACTCAAAGGAATTAAACAAGTTAGTATGTGCCAATGAAATTGCGATCGCAATCCTCTGCCGATCACAGCACATTTCCGCGTCTCTCTATCGGTTACTCTGGCGAAACTTCCGTTTAATCCAGTTAAAAGTAGAAGAAGTTTTCCACGAGCTTCCGAACGGGAAGTCCTCGTTTCACCGTACTTCGTGGAATCTTTAAGTTCGGGACAGTATTTTCATCCTCCACAGGTTCATTTGGCCACTTCCTCCTTTGCTGTCCTTTTCTTCCTCTTTTTAAAGTGTTCGTTATTTTTTTATTCTTTTGCTCTTTTCTTTTTGTAATTCCATTCGTGGCTATCGGCAGCCGGAAAGTATTCGTTTAATTAGAAGATGGCCGTCCTTGGATTTTCACTGGCTCTCTTTCGACCTGGCCAAGATTCCGAGTTATTCGGTCACTTATGAGCCGGATAATAAAAGGTTAATTGAGAAGCTGGTTGTAGGGCAGGGAAAGGATAGGGGCGAGGAGGAAGTCGAGTGTATTTGTCGGGCAGTTTTGTCGAAAGCCGGGTCAATACATCGGATCGAGGCCTCCTTTGTATCAGACCACCAGGGATTTCACGTGTTTCCGCGTGCTCGTTAGGCGGAATTAAATTCGTAAAGCTGAAGCGTTATCGACGGCATCGGGCCGGGTCGGAGTTTCGTTCGAATAGAGAATGAGCCGAACAAGTTCTCACTGAGAGAATTTTTTGTGAGTCGGCAATCCCGAATCCGTAATTTCATCCTTGACGACAAGAGTACATAATTTGCGAATGTTCTAATGAATAATGTTGTCAATTCAGTTTGCAATTTTTTTCAAATGCCTAATCAATATTAAAAATAATAAGTAAACTATAATGCAATAGAGTTCTACAGAATTTTTAACTCTAAAATGGTTCAACTTCTTTTTTATCTATAACAGGATCATTTATTTTCTTACATTAGATCCGAAGCACGATGAAAGCCGAAAATGTCGTTCCCCGAGGAGCATACGCGATATGCAAAAATATATGGTATCGGGACTACCCTTGTCGCTTTAGCGATTTTTATCTCCGCGTGAATAGAGGCTCTAAAGTGGTCCGCTTCACGGAACTCCGGAGAATCGCCCTATCTGGCACTTCACAAAACAGAATACGGAAAACAGGAAAAACATTCGATTCTGTTCTTGCGTATCCGTTGAAGGATCTTGATCTGTTCATTTTTGACTTAAAATAAATAAAAAATCTTTTAATTCCATCGATCGAATTCGATCGATCCTCGCGATCCTCGCGAGTGTTGTTCATAGCGGAAGATGCCAGAGGCGTCCGTGTTACTTCGCATACGATATCAATCACTCTTACTACACGGTGTCGACGAAGCTCGTGTTCAATTAGGGCACAACGAAGCAAACTCTCACGGCAAAGCTTCTCGATCGATAGCATTGCGAAGGTACAATAAGATGATTCCCCCCAGCGTGCTTTTATCATTGTCAACCACCATGGAATGATTTCCTGGGAAACTAGTTGTTCTCTGGTAATCGTACCTTCAGGATCCTTCATCCATAAACCTTTCGGTAGGAAATTAAGGGGATGAATTAATTGGAATGAGACTGTAATTGGTCGTTGTAAATAATAATCAAGATCATTAATAAAGAGGTTGTTTCATTCGTGAAACTTCAAATTTTGAATTTAGAAATTATTTCGAAGTGAATCGACAGATCTGACCGATTGATGTTATAAATGATAGTTCAAAGCTTCGAAATGACTTCATAACTTTCCCACCGGATCACAATTGGAATTTCTCAACCACGTTTCACATCTCTGATACAAATTCATCGAATTAAACCCGTTTAACGAATAATAACAATGGTCATCGTTGGTATTATCGATAACGAAGCGATAGCTTTGTCAAACGATTCGGCTTTTAAAATCCAGCCGCGTATCTAACGCTAGCGTTCGCAAATAAATCGCGTAAACTGATTTGCGGTTCGTGGTGTGCTCGATACGAGTTTCAATCCCGCGAATGATTCAATTATGCTGGGGAAATCTTGTGGAACCTCATGGACCGGAATACTTTGTGGTACGAGATCGCGTTTCGTGTCACGTACCATCGTGCTTTTGTTATTTCGCTTGATTTTTCTAATTGTAAGAGCGACTAGGAAGAATCAACAATTTATGATTTCCAGTTTCTTGATTCACCTTAAACGTGCCCATTTTCATTTTGACAATTAATGCAATAAAAAGGTATCCGCATTCATTGATAGCAATTAATTTGCTGGAAACATCGCTGATTGATAGCCTTCTAAAGAAAAGGATTTCTAGCAAGGCGAAATTCCCTAGTCATTCTTCCGCTTTTCCAGCTCCGGATATCAGGATCGTGGACGAGGCCAGACACGAGCTACGGGACCGTTACTACAAAACCGGAAGCGGTATCGAGTTGGCATGTGTGGCCCGACCTTCTTGTCCCGACTCCAGGATACCGCATCCCGTCTGGAGGAAAAATGGCGAAACGTTGCCGGATCACGTCAACGTTTATCACATTAATGGGTGAGCATACGTAGCGAGAGAACGGAAGTTCAGATAGATAGGCCACGTTCCGATTTACGTTCTTTTATCGATGTTCAATTGTGCCCGCGTATCGGTGTGCTTTATACTCTTCGATGAAAGCTCCCTACTACATCGACTACACGCTTTCTGGATAACGAGCGAACCGTTTAATCTCCCTTGAGGCATTTCTCTGAAATGCTGAATGCCTTTACGACCATCGTTTCTATTTCGATTCGGTACTTTCCCTCTTCTGCATCTGTTCATTGTCGTTCGAACAATCTTAGAACACGCGTTGCGAGAATTTTTTATTATTGTTTATAATTGGCAAAAAAATGAAACGAATTATATCCTTCCATTTTTGATAAAATTCTGAAGAATTATTAATGAGTTATGTCACCCCGGAGGCTTCAAACTATTTCACGTTGGATGTAACATTCCCCTAGTTTTAGCTAAAACTGAAGACGAGAACAGGGGATGTATATTATAATAATCCTTGCTTACTCCTAACTAACTTGCCTTACGGGGATTTCGATCTGATTCTGCTTGCCTCAACAGCATCCGAATTACTAGATGATACCACAATGGTGTCTTGTTAGATGTGTTATAATACTGTCTGTCCAATTCTAGTCAGGATCCCCCGTGTTTAGGGAAACAGTTACGATTTAATAGACGATGCTGAACCCACAAAATTTGTACATACAATTTAGTAGCGAATATAGAAATCAGGAAATAATCAAGAACTAACAAGTTATTATTCTAATTAATGAAACTCGGATCTAGAAATAATTATTTTGAGAGTTATTAGAATTCAATAGAGGTAATTTGCAGTTTAGATCAATTTCTCCGAAAAAAATTACCAACGATCGCATTTTTCCCGGCAAATATCTATTGAAATTTGTATCGTACGTCCAATCTATCACATGACTACCGATTTTTCAGGTCGAACGAAGATCTGGTGACCAAGCTGTACATCGAACAGGCAAAAAAGACTGACAGCGGTGAATACTCGTGCTCAGTGAGCCAATTCAGTACCGCCGCAGTGCATATTCACGTTCTGAATGGTAAATCAAATTATAAAGACGATGCAAGCAAAATTTCATTCACAATTATCATGACATTTCTTTTGAGATCAAAGAAATATAAAATAATTAAAATGAAAAATTAATAGACAACTGAACAAGAATTTAGATACTATTAATTATCAGAATCATAACAAATGAAAGGAACTTGCTTTAACTCTTTGACTGCCGCACTGAAGTTGTTCAAAGCTTCATTAATTATAAGTATTCTAAGTGTCAGCCACATAAGAGTGACGTGGCATTTAACGTGTTAATGATTTTTATACATATGTATATGCAGGAAATACATATAAATGAATTGTTTATTCGAATAAAGAACAGTATCAATCATATTACTTTGAACAATCCTTTTGTACGTCAATCATAGTGTATTCCATTATAATACTACATTATTCATTGTTCAGCTGTCACATTAGCAAATTCTTCAAAAAGAATATGTAATAATTGGTTGTTAATAAATTAAATTATTTTAACCTTCTAATTTATGGAATCAAAATTACATAATTTAAAATTGACTCAAAATGTTTTGCTATGTCCACTATCTGTCCACTATCTAAATATTTAAATTTCAATAATAAAAATTACCCGATAAATTAAGCATCAAATATTTTTCATATAAATATCTCGAAAATTTAAGCGGTATTAATTTCTGCTCGTAAAAAGTGTTATCTCAACAAACAGTTATTAAAACGAATTCGAATTTTTATCGTACCTCCTCCACATATTCGGTAAAAATACGTAGCTTTTATAATCCTTTTACCATTAATTTTGTATTTACCGGGTATATTTATCGAAATTTCAATGTTTGCTTGCACGAAGCACGTGTTTATTAAATGTACAGCATCTGTTATATATTGGAACGAAGCGCAAATTTATCGGTTATTTCATTTTGATATTTAAACATTATTTGAGATGGAACGACGCCAAATTAAAGCTACCATTACCTACGGTTTTAGGATATTAATTCCGTTTCTGGAAACCGAATTTTATATTCAATTATGGAAATGTAATAATTCATTCAAATAAAATAGGTTATTTTACATAGTCCTTAATTAGTTTGATGAAATATCAAATTATTTCATAGCGAATGTTTGAGATCGAAACATAGGAAACCTTTACAAATGATTTCTATATTTGTCATTTCTAATAAAAACTCAATTAGTGTTATACTATGAAATGAAATTCTAAATAAATTTAATGATATTGTGATGGTTTCTTAATTATGATATTGATATATATTTTTATAGGTGAAAAGCAAGCAGCAGTTCACCATGACCAGTGGAATGGAGCACAAACAAATCACCATGAAAAACTGAGCAGGTTATACATCATGATCGTCAGTTTGCTCCTATCTCAAATTTGGATGATTAATTCACCGTGAATCTCATCAAAACATCTTGAAACCATCACTGCACGTTACTTTGTACAATCATCGGTTTATGGATGATTATCAGAAAGCGTTCAAACAACAGATCAGTATTACAATAGACGAAAATTGTCGAATCAATTATTGTATGCAATGAATTAGTGTATATTGTATACAATACTGCGATAATAAATATAAACAGAAGTGTGATGATTAACTTGATTCGAACCTGGCAACAAGGATACAAAGAAATTTTTTGAGGAATCTCGTTGAACCTGGTAAATACATGTTACCATATGTTTCCAAAAGGAAAGGAAAATTTTCGAATTAGCATATATGATATTTTTAAAAAATTTACTGGTCACACGTACGCTTTACGCAGTCAAAGCCGTAAGAAAAATTCCTACTGCCTTTGTATAATTTTAGGTCATATTGTTCTACTACATTTTATTATAATAATAACAAAATAACTGATATAAAAATGAACATCCTCTATTGAACAGTCTCTGCATAAAAAGAAAAGAAACATTGGAAATTGGAAATAAATTGTAACATGTATTTATTATATTGGTCCATAAACTATTTGCAATGAGAAAATGCGTATATTTGTAGTTTAAAAATAAGATCATAAACATTCCATTCTCCTGTTCTCAATGGCCTGTACATAAAATAATTGTCGCGTAGCGAACCCTTTGTACCACAAATTGCCGTAGCAGCAATACGCAACAATGATTGTATAGCGGAGAAAATATTGTGCTCGATTGATCGACCTGCTGCCATCTGATATAATTTGACAAATGTATAAATCGCTTACCTTTAAATGTGTAACGAAATGCATACGTTTTCAGTTAATAAACTGTACTTAATTAATTTTATCTAAACCTTTCTGCTGAGATTATTCTGTACCATTTTATAATTGAAACCTCATTGCACAACCTGTCCTATTAAAGAGGTACCTTTATATCTAAAAATAAGTAAAGTTTGAGAACTTTTTATATAAGTAACTACTAGATACACGTGTAACTTTTAACTAAATATTCTAATTTTTTAAAAGTATACTGAGTAGATGTTGTACCTTTATAAATTCCGCATAGGTAAAACAACCCATGTTTAAGGTGATGCAAGCGTCGAGGCTGAACTCCGAATTCCGCATCGGTAAAACAGGCCATGTTTGATCGAAAATTAAGCTGAACAGAAACTGATTTAAGCGCTACCTGAATTATTGCATCCAACTAACGGAATGCTATACTACGTTACCTTTCCCAAATGCCTGACCATGCATTCATTATTATTAATTTTCTTTTCGTAAAATTGTATCTGCAATGTGGTACACTTCAGAATCTTAAAGACGTAGTTCCTGAAAAAAATATAACAGCGATTAAATAGAAAAAAAGCATTTGCGCAGCCAATTCGCTCGTATTATTTGCTGCATAATTAATAAATATACCATAGAAATAATGATACAGTTATTAATTAGTCATCAAATAATAACGATTGCCCAGGTCTCACCACGGGGAGGTTGCTGCGGGTGGAGACCCGCCCTACCTCATCCCATCCACCCTCCATTTATGCAAATTTTTATTTTTATTCAATACCATCATCCTCTTGATGCACATTTGCAAAACGTTTTTGACTGTTATGCAAACGAACAACAAAAGGAGCATTATTTTTATTCACTACCTACCTATCTACTTATCTATACATATATTTACGTAGATTTTTGCATTTTATTTCTATCGCAACATTTTTTAATTTTGATTTTGATTACAGATCTGTAATTAATAAATATGCAATTGCATATTTGTCCTACATACTTATATTACTAAGAATGCCTAACTAAACGAGCGCTCGTAATTATATTAAAAATTCGCTTAAATCTAACGCTTTCTAATTAAACACTGCAGTGTTTGACGATTATACTTAATGATCATAAAGTCATTAAGATATAATGATTCTACGAAACCATAAACTTACAACGTGTTTATATAAAAATTTAAAGGGCTGTACATAAATAAATACAATGGATTTGTTGATTATGTCGTCCTCACCAGAATACTTCCTGAAAGAAACTACGAAAGATTAGATACAATTTTCAAAAATAATAAGGCGGATATTACCTTAATACGAAAAGGATTAGATTCAATTTTCAAACATATTAAGACTCGTTTTACCGTAATATCAGAATACTTCTTGAAACAAACTAAAAAGAATTAATTACCAAAATACGTCCTGAGATATTTCTCTGCAACAGAAACTTATTAATTGAATCCACATCAAGACAAAAAGTTTAATAGCTAGAAAGAAGATGCATTAGTACACACAAAATTTCACAAAAATCAGAGTCATTGTTAATGACTCATTTCCAATGAAAAGTACCAAAAGAAAAAAAAGATTTAAAAGAATATATCGTCACTCAATAAGTGATTTGATTTAAAAGGATTAATTGTTTTTCATTTTATAGTATTTAATATTCGTTCTTTTGTTAACAAACAGTACACGATATTTTAATTGAAATAACTATCTTATACTGCAATATACGTACATACAACCATGACTCTACTTGACTTTATTGCATTATATTATTCAATACACCTTTCAATGCAAATTTATTGTAAATGGAAAAACTGAAAAGAAAATCACGAGTGGACTTTGCTTTTCAGGAAAAGAATTTGAAAATTTATAAAAGTAATTTAATTAGCTTCTCCGTAAGCTTGAAACGAAACATCGCGAACAAAAGTTAAAACTGAACAACTCGAACAACAATTATCCACTACTTTTGTTTAAATAAAGTAAAATAAAAATTTAATAAGCTATCTCGAATGAACAAATATTCCTTGAAATAAATTATCACCAACCATCAAAAAATAAAATGAACTTCTATTTTAAATAAAACTTTGAATAAAGTTCTCTTTAAAACTTTATCGTATCTATTAATATCCTGAAAAAATTAAATTCATATATTATTTAACAGTATTTCCAATAACCAAATGCTCAATATTTTCAAAATTAAAAAATGGGAAGAAAAAAGAATGAGGGCATGGCAGTGGGAGGGAGGGTACAGGGGAACCTGAAAAGAAAAGTTTGACTGCCCATAAGAGCAATCCCTAAGCAAACCCTATAAAACAAACCGAAATCACACGCAACACTAATTTCAAAATTGCAAACATTCTGAACTATGACAAAACATCGGCTGGCAACGAAGGGTCTCACGCCCCCTAGACTTACGCCAGACGCTACATACCACCCACCCCGCCTGGACGTCGTAACGCCAGGACAGAGTGCACCCCTTCGCTAAGAGCGCTACCCGCCCGTCCAACACGTTGCATCCAACGGTGTCAGATTGACGGACGCCCATAGTATAGACAAAAGGACTACAGTTTAGAATATGGTAACATATTTTCATATGTTCCGTATTCTAAAGCTGCGCCTGCAAAGGCCTAGTAATGCATGGGTATATCTCCCAGAGATGGTGTTCACGGTCTTAGGCCGCGGAATCCAATGGATTCCCACCGAATGTGAGTCATAGTTACTTCCACTAATTTAATAAATGCAAAAAAGTAAAAAATTTAATAACAATCGCGAATTCATTCGCAACACTAATTTCATTAATTATATAATATGTACAAAAGGGTGCGCGTGAAGGCTGCTCCATTATACGCAACACTAAGCTGAAAAAAAGAAAAAAAGAAAAAACGCGAACTGTAACGCAACACTACTCAAATCTACCGAATTTTGTAAGACGCAACACTAATCTAAAAAAGGGGTACAGCCAATCCAAGGCTGTACCACGGCAGCTGGTCCATAGCTGCCTTATGGACCATGGCAACTCCATTGGATCGTTTTTGGGCATTTCTAATGCAAAACGCGAATATTCATTACCGCAACACTAATTAGCAGGGAACTCTATAAACTAATACAAAGCAATCGCGTATTTATAAGTCGCAACACTGGGAAACAATCGCGCTAATGTCATTCGCAGCACTATCTTTAATAGACATGCAATTAAAATTCAGAAAAGGGGGATTCTCAAACCGTGAATTTTTTACTCGCAACACTAATTTCATTAATTATATAATATGTACAAAAGGGTACGCGTGAAGGCTGCTCCATTATACGCAACGCTACGCTGAAAAAAAGAAAAAAAGAGAAAACGCGAACTGTAACGCAACACTACTCAAATCTACCGAATTTTGTAAGACGCAACACTAATCTAAAAAAGGGGTACAGCCAATCCAAGGCTGTATCACGGCAGCTGATCCATAGCTGCCTTATGGACCATGGCAACTCCACTGGATCGTTTTTGGGCATTTCATCATATATCGCAACTCTAATGCAAAACGCGAATATTCATTACCGCAACACTAATTAGCAGGGAACTCTATAAACTAATGCAAAGCAATCGCGTATTTATAAGTCGCAACACTGAGAAACAATCGCGCTAATGTCATTCGCAACACTATCTTTAACAGACATGCAATTAAAATGCAAAAAAAGGGGATTCTCAAACCGTGAATCTTTTACTCGCAACACTAAAGCAATGAACATTAAAAAGCAAAACTCTCAAAAATCTTAAAGCAATCAACATTGAAAAGATAAATTCTATTTTAAAGCAATGCAAGAAAGAAACGTGATATTTAAAGTTCGCAACACTAAATGAAAATCGCGATAATCATGCATACGCAACATTAAATTGAACCGTGATCGATATTCATTCGCAACACTAAATTGAACCGTGGTCAATATTCGCAACACTAAATTGAAAACGCGATTTGCCCAAAATCATGGGGGTCACGGGCCCCCTCTTCTCCTGCAATTACAAAACTACAACTACAGACAAGCACAGTGACAAAGTAGTAACAATAATGATTTCCCATCCTTTTTTGCAAAAGGATGCAAAATCATTAGTAGTTCCCCTCTTGAAAGACAGTTTGTCGGGGCGCTTCGGCATATAGCCTTTTCTTTCTTCGGGCGGTCCACCCACCTGAAACTTATATCTAAAGCTCGAGACTTGCAAATTCGCAAAACAAAAAAAAAACAATCAACAAAAATGAAAAATCACGAAACTCTAATTGACACGTGGACGAAAAAGGACTATATAAGTCGTTGTTCGTGCACACGTGCCGTGCTCGAGCAGAACTTGTGCGTTTCGTGCCATCGCGATCGCGTATGACGACTTATGAAGTCGCCAAAAATTTAAAAAATTGTACAGATAGAATCGAAGGCGAACGACATACTCCGTTCGTATCGATAGTATCGTCAATTCTTCAAATATATTCCAGGTACAGGTTGATCACGCGAAATCGCGCCTACCCGACCAAGAGACTGTGACAACCTGTCCCGGCCCTACCTGCTTACAATCTATCACACACACCAGAAGGTATACTACCTACCTACCTAACGCTATATTTAAAAAAGGCAAAATCACATTCTCACAAAAATTCATTCCACGACCCCCATACACTCCACCCGGGCGCAGAGCCTAAACTAGGGAGAACGTCCCGGGACGCCTCCGTCACCCGAGTTTCATCTCACATCACACTCTACGGTACGTACCATTTTTCACTGAAATCGTCTGGCAAGGCTAGCAATCATTGCGTATAATGATAATTACAAAATTTAATTAACTACTTTGATATAGAATATTTCATAATCATGGTAATAGTAATGGCAATATAGTAATATTAATGGTAATAATACTAATACTATTTGGTTTGTACGTTCATTGTGCATCTTATTGAATAAAATATTATTTCAAATTAAAAGTTAGATGAAAAAGTTATTAAACCGACGCAATCCCACA